GAGTTAGAGGGTAGATGTAGAGTTAGAGGGTAGATGTGGAGTTAGAGGGTAGATGTAGAGTTAGAGGGTAGATGTGGATTTAGAGGGTAGTACCTGGTTGTTCCACCAGGTGGAGTCTTATTCTGTTTAATCCTGTAGAGACCATGGACTGTATAACAGATGGACGTAGCTACCATGACGTCACCTGTTGGTTTCTGCACTGAGAAAATGAAGCCAGGGTTTTACTACTTCCTGGTTGACATCTTGGATTTTTGGAGCCAGCGATTGGTCAGACGGATTGAGAGGCGGGCCCTCTCTGCCCGCCCACATTTACCGCCTTCTGCTCGCTTCGTCTGTATCGTTGCTGCCGACTGTCAATCAAGCCAGCCACGCCCCTTGGCCCGCAACATGTTGGCAGTTTTTTTAAAATTCAGTATTGATTTATTTTCAGATTGGCCACCTGGTCTCTGGATCTGACCATGAAAACTAATAAGAAAACAATCCTGAGCTGTAGGAATGCAGTATTTGGTGATCTGTGATCACTTCTTTTCCAGTTCCAGTCTATGGGAGCCAGGGCTTTGTGGAGCCAGCAGCTAGTGGACGTAGTGATGCTGCAGGTTTCTGACACTTCTGTGTTGGCTTCATGTTTCAGGGCCGGTTGCTACGTCCATCTTTTATACAGTCTATGGTAGAGACCAGAGGAGGCGTCGACGTGTCGGTGGCTTCAGAAAGCAAAAAGAATAATGTTATTTTATTTTTTTAATTGTTCACGTTTATTCAAGCTGTATGGAGACAAAACGACCACAAACACCCGAACTCTGTGGAGACTGTGAACAGTAAATAGTTGAACATCTGCAGTATCTGGAGACGTTTTTTCCAGTGACGGTAACGTCTGGGGAACCTTGGAAACATGTTGGTTCTGATTTCCATCTTCTGTGTCATGGAAGCTACTGTTTGTTGTTTGACTGTTAGAAACCTGAGAAGGAAGCTGTCTGACCTGTTGGTTCACCTGTTTATGGCAACTCAACACCGTTTGCCCTGAAAGACGCCAACTGTCGTCATGCCGACGCTTGTTTCTGTCCATCAAAGACTTCAGTGGAAACCTGAGTTCTGATCCGTTAAACATCGACAGCTTCAGCTGTCAGGTTCAGAGACTGTCGGTTGGTGGTGTTTAAACCAGCCTCTATTTCTGGTTGTTCTTTATCGTCTTTACCTGGGTTCTGTTCAGATCAATGCTCCGCGTCCTCGTTGTGTTGTCTGTTGGCAGCCAGCAGTTACCTGGCAACAGGTGACCTGCCCCGCCTCTGTACAGGCCTCAGGTGTGACTGGAGCTGCTGCCAGTGAAGGCTCACAGAGGTTCTGAGCTGCTCCAGGCTCAACGGGCAGAACCGCTCTGAGGTTCTGTCACTTTGCCTGTGAGCTGCTTCACATTCAGATCAGCTGTCTCAGATCAAGTTCTGTCAAAGTGTTCCCACAGCGTTCCTTCAGCGTTCCCTCAGCGTTCTTTCAGCGTTCCCTCAGCGTACCCTCAGCGTTCCCTCAGCGTTCCCTCAGCGTACCTTCAGCGTTCCTTCAGCATACCCTCAGCGTACCCNTTGTTGTGAGGCTGTGCAGTGTGTTGACTTCTGTGTTTTTCTGCCTTCTGTCAGGTTCTTGATCTGATGCAGCTCTCAGTCTGGAGTTGTTGAACTCGTGTGCCTGTTTTAAATCTGATGCTGACTTTCTGTCTCTCAGACATGAACACATGTTGAAGTCGTTGGTCTGTGAGATCGGGTCAGAACAGAATCTGTTGCCTTTCACTTCACCTGGAAGAGCCTCTGGTGCTTTACGTCATTCAGTAGCAGCTTCCGGTTTCCTGTTTGGGGCATCTGGCTTCTCCATTCACTGCCCCCCACAAACAGAACTTCGGCGACCCGACAGATGACCCGGCTGATAAAGGGCCGCCCAGTTTCTCCCCCAGAACCCTCCTCAGCCTGTTGTTGTGCTCTCAGTTCAGCAGCAGCCACAAAGAGCTCTTCCTGGCAGAATTTGCAGCTCTGAGCATGTGCAGATCTTCATGACAGCCACAGACTTCATGTTCAGGTTGCAGCCCTCATTCTCATTCGTTATCAACCAGGGGTTGTCATTAGATGTGGTGGTAAAATGGTAGTTAGAGCGTAAATGTGGAGTTATAGAGTCAGAGGGTAGATGT